TTTTTTAGGGTAATATGGGTGCATCTTCAACTTAACTACCAGTACCAGCTGTCATCAAGTCAACTTCAATTTAAGTAAATTTTGCTAACTTCCTTACTGAGCAATCTACTTCTGTAGAGTTACCGCCTTGGAAACCCAAGGAGGGGTTTCTATGAGTTGGATTAGAGTCCATGGCAGCAAGTTTGTGTTTTTGTTTTGTTTTGTTTTTATCAGTAATGTAGGAGCCCTGGTGGTACAGTGGTTAAACGACTGATTGCTAACTGAAAGGTTGGCAGTCTGAACCCACCAGCCGATCTGTAGAAAAAGATATGGTAGTCTGCTTCCATAAAGATTACAACCTTGGAAATCTGTGGGGTTCTACTCTGTACTATACAGTCACTATAAGTCAGGATCAACTTGATGGCAGTGGGTTTTTTGGTTATCAGCAATGTAGCTAACTAATCAGTTGCTATGGAGTTTATTCCCATCTATGGTAACCTCATGTGCGTCGGAGTAGAATTGTGTACCATATGGCTTTCAGCAGTTGATGTTCCAGAATTAGATCACCAGGCCTTCCTTTTGAGGCACATATATGTGGATTCAAATCTGCAACCTTTCTGTTAGCAACTGAAGGGCTAACCATTTCCACCACCCTGGGACTCCATCGGCAATGTATGTTCTATTTCCCACATCCACGCCAGCACTTGCTGTTACCAGATTTTAAAATTTTTGCTAATCTGATAGGTATAAAATTGTGTTTGAGTCATTCTAATTTGCACTATGTTGCATACTAGTGAGGTTGAGGATGTTTCCATGTGTGTATTAACTCTTTGGAATTTCTCAACAATGAATTGCCCCTTTCTTTCTCTTGGGCTCTGTCTTTTTCTTAATTTTGGAGGCAGCTTTATATTCTGGGTACTCAAACTCATACTCACTGACCTCAAGTTGATTCTGATTCATAGCAACCTTCACTGGGTTTCCAAGGCTGTAAATCTTTACATGAGCAAACTGTCTCATCTTTCTCTCATGGAGCAGCTGGTGGGCTTGAATCGCCAAACTTTTGGTTAGTAGCCCAATGCCTTAAACACAGTGCCACTAACTAAATCCAAAAAACCCACTGCCATCGAGTCAAGTCCTGCTCATAGCGACCCCCATTGGGTTTCCAAGGCAGTAATCTTTTCGGAAGTAGATTGCCCAGTCTTGTTTCCTCAGGACTGCCACCAGAGATCCTTATTCCAGGTACTAGCCATCAGCGTTAGGTCACAAATATCTCCTCTCAGGCTTTGATTACTCTTTTCATCATTTCAGAGAAGTGAATTCTAACCTAGAAATGCTCCTGGACATATGGAGGAACTCATTTACATTGTTGTTTTTGGTTTTTTTAAATTTACATTTCAAAGTTACATGCCTTATTGTCTAGCAGATTGAGTCTCAATTAATCAGGATTGTGCAGCAATGTTGTTACATCAGCAGGGACTCAAGCTGGGGATGGGGGGCCCATGGCCAGGGGTCTAAGAGCTCTGCCAGACCCACTCCCACCCCAGCCTGAAGCCTCAACCCTGGTATCATTCTGGAAATCTCTCACATCCACAGGTACCCTTGTGCCGAGATAAGAGTGTGCAACAGCACTCATTGCCTCTTAGAGTTCTGTTACTTTATCCAACAGCAAGCAGCAGGACATGCCAAAAACAGCAGTGCCCTGAAAGGAGTTCTGCCAATCATGTCTCCCAACCAATTTCCAAAGGAGGCTGCACTACCAGCAAGACATCCCCACTTAATTCCCCTAGCTGACACTTCAATCTCTCAAAGGTGTGCAGAGAGAATTAGAGCACTCAGTGTCTGTACGCCAGTGATCTTCTCTTTGCTGCTATAGTCTTTACAAGAACCTGACAGAACAGGCATTAATATCTCTCCCCTTTCACTGATAAAGAAAACAATGTCTAGCAAGGTTAAAGAATCTGCCCAAGATCACTCGGTTAGCAAGTGGTGAAGCCAAAATTCAATACCAAGTCTTGTTATTATTGTTAGTTGCTGTCAAGCCAGCCCCCAACTCATGGCAACCCTGCACCCAGCCGTGCACCATCCCCATGGCCGGTTGTGAATTGGACTTTTGTGATCAACAGAGCTTTCATTGGCTGATTTTGGGGAGTAGATCACCAGGACTTTCTTCCTAGTCTGTCTTAATTGGAAAACTCCAATGAGTCCTGTTCAGCATCCTAACAACACACAAGCCTCCACTGACAGACGAGTGATAGCTGCACATGAGGTGCAGTGGGCAGAAACCGAACCTGGGTCTCTCTAATGGAAGGAAGGCGAGATTTCTACCACTGAACCACCATGGCCCCACAGCCCCAGGTCTCACAGACACCAAAACCCAGCTTCATCACATCTTACCGCACTATTCAGTGAGATTGAAGCAATGAAGGGAAATTCTCCTTCTGCAGATCAAGGAGGAAAGAACTATGAAATGAGAAGAAGTTTTAGAGAAAATTACCCTGTTTTATAGTTCTTGGACCCCAGAGAAAAGAATGTTGCTAGCAGGCTGATAGTCAAATAGAAAACTCAAGATCTAGGAAAGCAATTTTCACATGGCTGCTCAGAACGGCAGGGAGGAGAATGGGGATGCTAGAGAGGGGAAATATTTTAGGCACTAAATTATAATAATGTCTCCTTTAGATTGAGTCTATTATGGCAGGAATTAAGTGTCTTTCCTCTTACCCTCCCTTCCTTCTTCATTTTCAGGGCACAATATTGTGTTTTGCACACAATAGACTCTAAGCAAAATTTTACAGCTAGCTGATTAATTAATGCTAAGACATAGTGGTACACTAGAGAACCTGTAGTGTCTGTTCTAAGACTCTTCTTGGTGTTACGGTTCCCAAATGTAATTAGGCCATATTTTCATATTCAAGAGCTGTTCATCATATTGTCCACTTTTGGCCCAAGACAGATGAGATGGGGAGGGTGTGCCTCATCCCTTGCTCTGGTGTCTCCATCCTGTGTCCAGGGGGCTGACTGTAAACTAAGCTAGGAGCCCAAGGAACTGATTGCGAGAATCTGACACAGCAGCTAATTAGAAATCAGCTTACAGAGTAAAGGAGATGCCCTCCCCAGGTTATCAGAGGTGTCATCATTAACTTCTGAATCGAGGAGGGAATAAAGTATTATACCACATAGCCAATGGGTTGCCTTAAACAGAGTAATGTGTCTAAGCACAAGAAAAGAAAAATCTTAAAAGTGAGATGCGAGATACGAAAGGGGTTAGGGAAACTATGTTTAGGAAAGCAAGACTGTGGTAGTTAAATTTGTGTGTCTACTTGGCTGGGCCTGGTTGAGTGACTAGGCAGCTGGTGGTAGTTATTCCCCATGATGAGACTGGCAACAACTCCATGGTGGGATCTACCA